CTCCCTGGGCCCGTGGAGGGACCTGATCCGACCCCCCCCCCCCCCCTCCCCCCGCCCGCCCCTCCCTCCCTTCCCCCGCTGCCCTCCGAGACGCACACAGGCAGACACACAGACAGACACGCGCACAACAAGGACGCGCGACGAGCGCGCGCCGCCTGCCCCACCGCCCGCCCCACCGCCGGCCCGCTCGCACCCCCTCGCCGCAGGCGAACGCCGTGCCGCACTTCAACTTTTGCGACGAGGTGCGGATGGACGCCCTGATGGAGGTGCGGCAGCAGCTCAAGCAGGTCGCCCTCGACAAGGGGCTCGGCAAGTTCACGCTGATGCCGCTCATTGTCAAGGCCACCTCCCTGGCCCTCGCCGAGTTTCCCGAGCTCAACGCCTCCATCTCGGAGGCGGGGTCGGAGCTGCTCGTCAAGGGGTCGCACAACATCGGCGTCGCGATGGACACGCCGCACGGTCTGCTCGTGCCAAACATCAAGGACGTCGGCTCGCTCACGCTGCTGCAGGTTGCGCAGGAGCTGTCCCGGCTGCAGGCGGATGCGGCGGCGGGCAAGCTCTCGATCCCCGACCTGAAGGGGGGCACCTTCACCCTCTCCAACATCGGCAACCTCGGCGGCACCTACACCGGCCCCGTCATCAACCTGCCCGAGGTGCCGCCGAGAGACCGCCGAGAGACCGCCGAGAGACCGCCGAGAGACCGCCGAGAGACCGCCGAGAGACCGCCGAGAGACCTCGCCGGCTCCCACCGCTTCCCGCCTCCACCTGCCCCCCCCCCCCCCCACCACCACCACTACCACCACCAACCCTTTCAGATCGCCATCGCCGGCCTCGGAAAGACGCGCCCGGTCCCGCGGTACGACGAGGCGGGCGCGCTCGTGCGGCAGAGCATCATGCAGGCCGGCTGCTCTCTCCCTCCCTCTCAGCTTCTCCTCTCCCTCTCTGCTTCTCCTCTCCCTCTCTCAGCATCATGCAGGCCGGCTGCTCTCCCTCTCCCTCTCCCTCTCCCTCTCCCTCTCCCTCTCCCTCTCCTCCTCTCTGCTTCTCCTCGTCTCGCCCTCTCCTCCTCTAGAGGACGCCAGAGGAGGGCTCCTGGGACGTGGAGACGCGAGCGGTGCAATTTCCCGCCCTCGCCCCACTACTACGACGCCGCGTCACCCGCGACAGACGGGGTGGCGACGGTCCCACCCCACTCGTCGAGACCTGTGCCTCGTCCTCCCCTAGGTGAGCTGGTCGGCCGACCACCGCGTCGTCGACGGGGCGATGATGGCCCGCTTCTCCAACGCCTGGATCGGCTACCTCGAGAAGCCCGCGACCATGCTCCTCACCCTCTGAGCCCAGGTCCCCGTCTCCGTGGGAGTCCGTGGGAGGCCGCCGGCGCGGCGCGCAGGGCCGGAGGCCGCGTCTGGGTAGTCCGGTGGCGGGCCCCTGGTCTGGCTGCGGCCGCGCCAAAAGTTTGCGCACCATTTACCGTGTCGGCGGTGCGACGCCGGCGGCCCGGGCGTGAGTGGCTCTCCCCCAGCGTACTGGTTGCGCCGCGTTCTCGCGATCCGCGACACGGCGCACATCTTTTTTTATGTGAAACGTGCATGTGTTAGTGTAAAGGCGGCGAATGATCGCCGTAACCGGCTCCCCTCCGCAAGATTCCGCACAGGCGCAGCATCCAGCAAGCAGTCTCGACACAGCTCGACAACTCGAGTCTGACTCTACGGCCACGGGTTAGTCGTCTACGCGGGGCTTTATACCTCTAGAGAGACGCTCTACGAGAATGGTTGGGTAGTAGGGCTAGAGGGTCGCTCTACACTTAGGCCTCTGCAGCGAGCGAGCGCTCAACTTAGGGTTAGGCCCCCGCACGGAGCCGGGCTCAGACTTAGACGCTGTACTTAGTATGGTCGGGGGCCATGAACTTAGACGACATAAGGCCAACTCCGGGTAAAACCCGGGTATACCTGCAAAAGTCCAGGTTTACCCGAAAAATACCTGGACGCGTCCCGACCAACGTATGCCGCGCACGACGCCATATCGCCTTCCTACCGTTGCGGCGCGCAACGCCTGCTCAAGTACGCGCAACGTACCATGTGCTGCCGCTGCGGCGAAGCGGCGGGCGCGGCACCGCGGCATGCCGATGGCAGTGCGGACGATGCGGTTGCGATGTGTTCTGCTTCAAGAGTGGCGGTGCTTGACTGTTTGGCTAGAAGTCGCCGAAGATTGCGCTCAAGAAGCAGCAACGAGAATCGGAAGAGGAGGATGATGAGGCGCGATTGCTGAGCGTGTATTGCAGCATGAGGAGGATCGATCGCCCGCCGCCATGAAGAAAATTTGGGGGCGGCGCCGTATCGTTGTACGTTGATCACGGTGGGAGCCTCTTGGCCCCAGGCCGTCCACGGCCGACTTAGCCGATGTAACACGCTCCCGCTGATCTTTACTTAGACCGCGCAAGCACTCCAGCGTGGCTAGCCACACTTAGACCCGTTAGGCCTCCATCCAGGCTCAGAACTTAGACTACTACCCAACCAGTTCTACGAGGCTTTTTAGCCTTTACCGGCGTCGGACGTGTAGCAGTCGGCTGCCGAAAATGGGCAAAAGGGGTGATTTTGGTCATCCGTCAAAATATCTGAAGATCCTACTATAGGATTCTCCCCAAACCTTAATCAGCTGATCCAGCATGGGTCGTAGGCCAGGCCTGGGCAAAGAAACCAGCACCTCATCAGGCTTCCCTGAGCGTCACAGCTCGGTGATGAGATCGCGCCGGCCGGACACCACTGAGACGGCCGTTCCGGGCATTTGAACGCGACCTTCGGGGGCAAAGACATGGGCTCTATGGCTCAGACTGGACTCCTCTTGGTCCCTTCTGATGCCCTAGGCCACACCTGGGCCTTACCTGGGGTTCTAGGGGCCGGGCAGGGTTTGCCCCCCGAAAGTGGCCCGGGGAACCTTAAGATGAAAACGTCCAACGGAGCTCCGTGTTGCTCCCAGCGCCCTCTCCCGCGCTCCCTGCGGCCATGGCCGATGATCCTAGTATGAGAGGTCATCTGGCTACCGCGAAAGCGACCCAACTCGTCGATGTCGTCCGATGATGGTGCCGCAAAGTCAGCTTTCGGAAGCTATCGTGGGGTCGAGCCGGCAGTAGCGAGTAGGAAGCCGTGACACATGACATGCACATGCAGAGTGTATGCGCGCGGAGGGCGGAGATTTCGACAAAACCGTTCGATATACTGTTGAAAGATAGTAATAGGGCAAGATGAGACACATCTGCTCATCACACCGGTCCCCGAGGGCAGCAGAGAGCACGCAGTCCAGAGACGTGTAGGCTGACACCTGACAGCGCTGCGGCCCCGTGCCGGAACCAAGCCGGCCACAGGCCGTGGCTCAGAGCGCTTACGCTCCGGGAGCCACCGCTGCACGCACGCTAGACTAGAACTGCCACAATCAGACACCTCCTCAGTCCTCAAGTTACCCACTCCCTCACACACGCACAGTCAGGGTTCAGCGCTCACTCAAGCCTTTGATCCCTTGAAGGATTGGCCCAGGCAGCTTTCGGCAGCCCACGAGCTGGGGACAGCCTCAGGGCACCCCGGGGGGCATTTCGAGAGGCGACACCGCCGAAGTTATGAACCTCCTACGCCGGGAGGGAGCTGCCAAACAAAGCACGCTGCACGCGCGCTAGGATCGCTCAGCGCGAGGGGTCCCGTACCATGCGGAATCGACCCTATCCAGTGCTCAAGTGCTCAAGCACGAACGAGCATCCATAATAAATAAATAAAACGGACACGCCAAACGCACTAGTGGCAGGACGCATGAAATTATTTACAGATTTCCTTTCCCGGGTGCGACGCAGCGCGCGATCTACAACAGAAGAGAAGCGCCGGCTTCAGCACGAGACATGGCGCCACGCGTCGCTCCAGCCTGCGTCGCTCTCCGCCGGCTTCCCTTCTCGCTCTGGTGGCGACGCGCGCGCCAAGCTCGCCGGCGCAGGCCACCGGTCATCGCGTACGCCGGCCACGCGCCCGCAGGCGGAAGCGCCCGCGTGAGATCGGTCAACATCGGCTCGCTGACGCCCGCAACTTTCTTCGCCCGGTTCGTCCGCACGCGCACGCCGGTGCTCGTGCGCGGGCTGCCGCCCGAGCTCGCTGGTCGTGCGGACCTGGTCGAGCAGCTCCGCGCCGCGGCGGCAGACGAGCCGGTCCAGGTCGAGGAGCGGCGCTGCCCGGAGGGTCGCGCGTTCGGGCGCGGGTGCAAGGTTGCGATGCGCTTTGGCGAGCTCGTCGACCGCATCGAGGGCGGCGAGACCCGCCTGTACCTCACAACGCAGGAGCTGCCTCTCCTCTCTGGCGGCGGCGAGGCTCTGCTCGCGCCGCCACTCAGCGCGCTGCGAGAGAAGCTTCCTCTCCGTCCGCGGCTGGCGGGGTCGCTGTGCCCACAGAGCCTCAACTTGTGGTACGGTCGCACCGACCTGCGCGAAGGGACAACCTCAGGCCTGCGCCTTTGCCAGCGTGAACGCCAGTCCACACTGACCATGCACACTCCTCCACCAGTCCTGCTCGTAGCGGTCCTGCTCGTAGGCCCGCGCCGCGGCCAGCACGACGTGTGTGTGTGTGAAGACCGGACCTCTGGCCATCCACCCGTCGATCACACCGAGGATAGGCTTGCACCACGACCACCACGACAACCTCTACTGCCTGCTGCGCGGGCGGAAGCGGCTGCGCCTCTATGCGCCGTCCGACGCGCCGCGCATGCGCACACACGGCCGCGTGCGCAGAGTACACCCAAACGGACGGATCAACTACGCCGGCGATCCAACCGCCGCCGACGGGCGCACCGCCCACGACGTGCTGCGGTGGAGACTGCGGCGGGCGAGGCGGGCGCGGCGGCGGGCGGAGGTGGCGCTAGAGGCGGCAGAGTCGGAGGCGCGGCGGGCGGCGGGCGGCGGGAGGGGCGTGGCCACGAAGAAGGCTGCCGTCGTGGCGGCGGAGGAGGCGCTCGACTGCGCGGCCGAGCGGTGCGCGGAGCTGCTGCTCGACGCGGAGGCTCGAGCGGACGCGTGCGGCGGCGGGCGCGGGCGCGGGCGGCGGCGACGGGGGAGGCGACGGGGCGGGCGCGGCGCAGAGGGGGTCGGCGAGGAGGGCGGCGAGGAGGGCGGCGAGGAGGGCGGCGAGGAGGGGGGCGCTCCGCCGCCGAGCTTCTGCGACGTGCCCGCCCTGCCGGACGGCGAGGCTGCGAGGCGCGCGCTGCTGCGCGGCGCGAGCGAGCTCGTGTGCGAGGTGCGCGGGAGAGATGCTCTACATTCCGTGCGGTAGACACTTCCTAGACACTTCCTGACAGGTGCGCGCGGGGGAGATGCTCTACCTGCCGTGCGGCTGGTTCCACGAGGTCACCTCGTATGGCGAGCACGCCGCGCTCAACTACTGGCTCCACCCGCCCGACGGCGCCGAGTTTGAACGGCCGTACTCCGCTGCCGCGTACTGGGAGGCGGAGTGGCGCCGGCTGTCACGCTCCGTGTAGGCCTCGGCGCTCGGGTGCTGCGCGGATGTGCTCACCTGTACTACATGACATGTACTGGGTAGAGAGCTGAAGAGCCGTCGCTTTCTTCTGGCGACACAAAGAAAGAAAGAAAAATCCCAACGCAACGAGGGATTGCGACACAATCCCAAAGATGTAATCACTTTTAAAGAAAGAAACAAACAAAACAGACAACCCAAGGGAGGGATGGGAGGACGGCACGCCGCCACCACACAGGGATTTTAAGGAGAGGTGTGTGGTGCGCTAGCCGTCGCCCACCCTAGGGAGTCTGCCTCTTCCTATCTCTCTTCGCAGTCTCTCTGAAAGAAAGAAAACAGACACGCCAAACGAGGGATGGGACGAGGACAGGGTCCACACCTGCACGAGCAGGATTTTGGAAGGACGATCCGGGGGACAGGTGGGGCTCTCCTGCTCGTGACAAGGGACACGACAGACTCGCAGCGCGGTGCGCGGTGGACTCCCACATCCACTGGCGGTCTCCTCTCAGTCTAGCGACCTGCCTCCAGCTTGTTCGCAGTCTCTCTCCGATAGTGCTCCAGCTCGCACGAATTCTTTGCCCTGGCTCACTGGACACTCTCGCGCTGAACGAAAGTCGTCGACCATGCTTTATGCGGACAAGCGCGCCCTCGAGACCAATCTCAAGGTCGAGCTGCTCGAGATTCGTGAGAAGGAGCTCAACTTCTACACCAACAACTGCCAAAACATCGGCACGCAGGCTGCGATGCTGGCGGGCTTCGCGTTTGCGGGCATGATGCAGCCGCTGCCAGACCAGCCCGAGGCGCACGCGCCGCCGCCGCCGCACTCGTTCTACCCATGCGGCCGCCGGCCCGCGAGCCCTCCTGCGCACCGCGTCGCTCTCTTACCTCTTCCAGGTGCTGCGCGTGCTCTTCCTCGTGTCGACCGTCTCGGCGCTCGGCCTGCAGCTGGTGACGGTGGTGACGACGACGCTGCTGTCGATGCTGTCGCCCGGCCTCGCGCTGCGCGGGCCCGACGGCTCGATGCACACCGCCGTCGACGGCATGGTCGACGAGTATCGCCTCTCCTTTTACACGTTCATGCTCGGGCTGATAGCGACGCACTTTGCGGCCGCCTTTTTTGTGTGGCGCGCAGCCGCGCCATCTCTCCCCACCTCTCCCCCACCTCTCCCCCACCTGTCCCCCACATCTCCCCCACCTCTCCCCCACATCTCCGGCGTGCAGGCTCGTCTTCCTCTGGTGGCAAGCTGCCGTCCTCTCCTTTTGCATCTTCTTCTCCCTCGCGATGCTCTACCGCATGACGCGAGCGCACCCCCGGGGAGAGATGAGGAGATATGGGGGAGATATGGGGAGATGTGGCAATGCTCTACCGCACCTCGAGCGCACCCCCGCCTCAGGGAGGGAGAGGGAGAACTGAGACAGCGAGCGCCGGGAGAGCGAGCCGAGAGAGGGAGCCGAGATCAAGCAGCCGTCACTTCTCGGAACCTTCTCGGAACCCACCACTGACCTTCTGTCTGTGGTGCTGCCTATCCCTGAGAACGCACACCCCGCCTCGTGTGCAATGACCCGTGTGTTCCGCGCGCGCGCGCGCGTGCCCCGTCCTCCGTGCTATAGGACGTGTGCCCCACTGGCTGACTGACTCACTGACCGTCGTCCGTGCTAGGAACGCACCGACTGACTCACTGACACTGTCCGACCAACAGGCGCGTGCTGATGCTCAAGTTCGCCATGCCCAAGGGCGAGATATAGCGAGATACGGCCGAGAGATGGCCGAGATACGGCCGAGAGATGGCCGAGAGATGGCCGAGAGATGGCCGCCTCAAGCCCGAGGGCGAGCTAGCGCCCCCCCTCTCGACCATGCGAGTCGCTTCCAGTGCAGTCAGCCGCCCCACCTGCACGAGTAGGCGTGATCTCGTGCAATCTCGGGCAATCTCGGGCAATCTCGGGTAAGGCCCCACCTGCACGACGAGTAGGCGAGCTGCAGACGGGCAAGTTCGAGGCGGCCGAGGGTGCCGCCGCGGGGGCGCAGGCGGGCTGCTCTCTCCCCATATCTCCCCATATCTCCCCATATCTCCCCATATCTCCCCATATCTCCCCATATCTCCCCGAGGGTGCCGCCGCGGGGGCGCAGGCGGGCCGCTGTCGAGAGCGTGCCCCGGAGGACCAGTGGAACCAGCACTCTCCTGTGCTCTTCCGTTGTGGCGATGTCGTTCCAGGGAGGGAGGGAGGGAGGAACGGGGGGGGAGGGGGGGGGAGGGGGGGCGCTCCCTGGCTGGCGAGGGGGGAGGCTTGCGTAGCTGCGGGAGGCATTTCTTCCCCCGCGGCGAGAGGGGGGGGCGAGAGGGCTACATCTCGGCGATCTCTCGGCTACACCTCCGCGTCCTCTCTCGGCACACGGGGTGCTGCTGCTGTCAGGCCGGGGTCGTCGACGCGGGCGAGATCTCGACGCTGTCGGCCCTCATCCTGCAGGAGCGGCGGCGGGCGGTCTCTCGGGGCATCTCGGGCCATCTCCGGCCACCTCGGGCGAGATCTCGACGCCCCCCCCCCCCCTCCACCCTGCAGGAGCAGCGACTAGCGGCCGCTGCGCAGGCGCCTCGGGCCCTCCTCCTCTCCTCGGCCTCCCTCTGTCGGCCTCCCTCTCTCGCCCTCCCTGTCTCCCTCCTCGCGGGACCCAACCTTTTCCCAAACAAATTAAGGCGGAAACTCAACGGAATCCTGCTGCCGTGGATCTGGGGCCAGCGAAAGAAAAAATCCCCCCGAGGG